CATAAAGTAGGGCTAGTAGTGGGTTAGAGACCTAAGGTTTAGATAAGAACAGCAGGGGAGTCCTGCTTTGGAAAGTTTATTTACAAGTGGAGACAAGAAAGGCAGGAATGGGTGCTTATCTCTGCATGGTGCCTTTCATCTAGGTTCTGAACTTTTGCATGGTTCTAATGGGCAATTCCTCACAGCTCTTTCTGAGGTTACAGCTTTTAATTGACAGTTTACCATGTTTTATGACTCTGTTTCAAGGCTATCTTCCTCCTCATGTTAATTATTAAATTTTTTCTAACTTTATATTTAAACAAGAAATGTCCACTTTAAAATGGAGTGTAATTAAAATGTTGCTAAAATATTCAGACACTTTCATCAGTGTGAAATACAGGTTTTTTTTTAACTTCTTATAAACAAGCTTACATTTATATAATTTGCTTTTAAAATTTGATTTAAATGCTTCTAATTTAATTTTTCACTGATAGTTTATTTTAATTTCTCTTTTTTTTCCCCACAGCCTCAAGATCCTGCATATTTTGGACAGGATTCACTTTTGGTTAAGTCCTCAAGGCACTATTTAAAAATCCGCTACACTTTATTACCTTTCCTCTACACTTTGTTTTATAGAGCCCACACATATGGAGAAACTGTAGCAAGGCCATTTCTTCATGAGTGAGTACTACATATAGGAATTAAAATTTTTTCTTTTGGTGGTACTGGGATTTGATCACAGGGCCTCACACTTGCTAGGCAGGCACTCTACTGCTTGGCCAGCCTATAATGTGTTTTAAAGAATACTCAATTACATATTAAAATGTTAGTACAGATAAGTCAAGATATAATGTAGATCTATGCTGATTTTTTCATTTGTATAAATATTTTTATGATTTTTATAATGAGCATACAAAATAATCTGATTATTGTGAGAACTGAACAGAACCTACAAGGAAAAATAAATAATATATCAGGGAGATATTATCAGCATCAAAGATTAAACTTAGAATTATTGAAAGCACATCACGTATATGTTGTAAAGTCTTCTAAATTTAGATCGATAGTATAAAAAATGTGAATTATCCTTATCCTTGTATATCATGACCAGGTCAGTTTTTTTATCAGGAAATAACTTAAATATATTTTAAAATGCATATCAAAACTGGAATTTTATGAGAATGTTTAAAAGGAAAGAATTAGATCATAAAAGATATCTGATACATTATGAAACTGTCTTAAAGGAGAAAACTGGACAGGATAATTGTTTATTTTGGATTAAAGTAACCATATCATCAGGGTGGGTTTTTTTTTGAGTAGCAGAATGAATGTCTTCCTTCCTTCTTCCTTCTTCTGTTTCTTCCTCTCCCCTCTTCTCTTGCTTCTCATCAGATGATCCATGAGAGTTGTATTTAAACCTGTATTAAAATGATTGATTTAAAAGAACATTTTAAGGAAGTAAAATTAAAATTAATACTTATTATCAGGAAAAATTAAAAGATAAAGCAAATAAGAAATTTGGTTATTTTCATTCTGCATTGATACATCTTAAACATCTTAAACATTGTCACTGTTCTTAGGTTTTATAACGATACAAACAGCTGGATTGAGGACACTCAGTTTCTATGGGGCCCAGCATTACTTATTACCCCTGTTTTGAAACAGGTAGGCTTTACAAATTTAATAACTTTATCATTTAAAGGGAACTTTGCATAATCAAATTCATAATTAATTACAAAGCATCTAGGTAATTTTACTCATTCAGTTAAGTTCACAGAAACATTAAAACTTTGCTAAATTATAAGAGGAACTTGAGAAACATTCATCAGAAAACATTGAAAAATAGAAAATTTATGTGTTCCTGTTTTTAAAATGTGTGGATATCCAGGGACGAATACAGAAATGATCATTTTTACATTCTCAATAACCAAGTGGTTTATAGCAATACAAATATGCAGATGAGTTATAAGATGAAATAATTTCATCTTTGCTTCTGTTTTTTTACATTATGTCATATGAAGTTAATAAATAGCCCCTAATATTATCCATAGGAAATACTGAGTGCAACAACATAAAGAAATTTTCTCTCTTTGAAAAATGGAAACCAACATAATATTTGATAATATTTTTTGCTTTGAATGCTTTGAAATTCTAAGTGGTATATATAATCTTGCTTTAATTTAGGGAGCAGAGTCAGTGAGTGCATATATTCCTGATGCTACATGGTATGATTATGAAACTGTAAGTAACATTCACATATTTATGGGCTGATAGGTGTTATATTTTCAAATGTTTGTATATGAAAACTTAAATCCAAACACATGGCATAGTTATTTTTATGAGTTCTTTAATTATTATTCCAAGTTACACAACTGTATGTAATGGTATAAGTATCTTTGTGCACATGAACTAGACTTTAATATGAAATTAGATTGTTCAGTACAGAGATATTTAAAAGGGAATAAAAGGAGAATTGTAGGAAGTAATGTTTCTCTCTGTTTTGCAAAAACTTGTGACAATCTTCACATTTCTAAATTGAAAAGACAAAATAATATTTCATACAATTCATTATTGCAATTGTCAAAGACTTCTTGAGAATTATTTATTTTTAAAGTCATTACTTCATATATTTACTGAGTTTGCTAAGCAGAAACAATAATCTTTACAAAACTTTCTAGAGGTTGCTAACTTAATTTTCCATGGGCATCAGTTTCCTCATATTTATGTGTCTACTATTATTAGTTCATTTATATGTATTCATGGGCTAGAGTGTAATCATTTAAACTTGTATGCTTTGTGTGCTGACTATATCAATGTAATCCCCCCTTTTTAACTCCTGTTTTATTACTTTATGATTAAAGTCTTTGAACTTTTCCAAGTTATTCCTAAAGTGTATGATGGAAAATATGAAACTTCTTATCCCCAATTTTGAACTATAGTCACTCTACCACTGTGTAAATAGAGCCTATTTATTTTGCTTAATTGTATTTTGGTAGCAGCTATTCAACTATCCCTTTTTCCCCAGTGAACAGCATGACGATTCCTCAAAAAATTAAAAATAGATTCACTATAGGATCCAGCTATCTCACTTCCTGATTTATATCCAAAGGCAGTAATATGAACATATGAAAGAAATACTTGCACTACTTTGCTTATTGCTGCACTATTCACAACTGCTAGTATATGAAATCAACTAAGCTGTACATCAACTGATAAATGAATAAAGAAAATATGATATATGTAATGAAATGTTATAAAATCATAAAAAAGAGAAATATCCCATCAGTAGCAGCAAACTGTATGAAATTGCAAGATATTTTCTTAAGCAAAATAAGCCAGAGAGGAAGGCTAATATTTCATGTTCTTTTTAATATATGAATACTAAAAATGTCAATCAGCATGATGAAAAATGGTTAGAAGCCCATTAACTTTAAATAGAAAATAATACTAAAAAATGAAGACTAAATAATCAGTAATTATTTCAGAAAGGAGATTGTTTCTGTGTTTATTTCTATATTTGACAGAAAGTGAACTTATTTTTTTACTGTTTGTTAGTAAACTCAAAGAATTTTCCTTAAAAGTTAGAAGACAGTATAGTACTCAGTGTCGCAACATGAAAATTCGAATTTTTGAGAAATGAAGTTTAAAGTCTTCACTATTAATAAAAAATTACTCTTCTAAATATTAGGGTGCAAAAAGGTCATGGAGAAAACAACGTGTCAATATGAATCTTCCAGCAGATAAAATAGGACTACATCTGAGAGGAGGTTACATTCTCCCCACTCAACAACCTGAAGTAACAACCGCAGCAAGGTAAATGAAGGATCACTAACTGAAATCTGACATTTCATTTGTGTGAATAGCTCATCTTCTCATTTACAATCAGAAATTAATGATTATACTTTCACTAGAAGGTGTTTGAAAAACAGTGGTATTTCTTAACTAGCTGTCATGGTTATACATTTAAGTTTTACAAATATAAATGCAATATATATATGTATATACATGTGTCTTGTTATTAAGTTAGAAATGTATTTCCTGTACCAAAAATTTACACATATTCTCTATGGAATATGCTGAATAAAGATAATCTCTTGTTCTTAATTAAATATGAAACATTAATATTTTCATAAAATTGAAAGATGTGTCAGTTTTTACATATTTCATCTTTCAATACACAAATGTCACAATGTTTTTCTTGGAGTTAAAATGTCTTAACTTTGAATTGGTAAATAAATGGATATTTAAGATTAGATAAAGAAAAAGAGAGAAACTCTGTTGTTTAGAAGAGTAAAATTTAGAAATATTTAAGAAAAAAGAAGTCATTTGCAAATTCTGGTCCTCTATTTTGCAACATTCATTCTCAAATGTCCTGTTTTAATTCATCTAACCACTATATTCCTTACCTTCTTGCTGTATTTTGTCTACCATGTATTGAATATCTGAAATTATAGTACTTACTTTTCCTTGTATGTAGTGTGTCTGTTGACTTAGTCTATAAACTTCATGAAAGTAAGAAGTTGCATTTCACAGTGTTAAATTAGTAACAGTGCCTGCCTCATAATAGGCTCTGTATTTCCTGTGTTTATTGAGGTAACAAATTAATAAGTTAATCTATGTATTTTAGTAATTTAATTATTAAGTGTTCTAACATTATTTTTAAAACTCTTTCATGATTATGTTCTCAGAAATTAGTTATAATTTAGACCCTTATTGAACAAGAGAAAGAATGTGTGTTGGAAGGAATAAATTATGTGTGGAATAATTTTTGGGTCACAGGGAAACTATTTTGACAAGAAAAAAATGTTTTTTATTGATCACATTTCTTGTTTCTGTTTTATTGGCATTATTTGTAAAATTATTAGAGAGTCCACTAATTATTTTAAAACTTTCATACCATATTTTCATTATTTTGTACATAAGATGTAGACTTAATCCATTGTAAGGTTATGCTAGTTGAACTGAGCATTGATATGAACCATTTAATTTTCCTTATTTGAATTGAAATGTTACATTACTCAGTTTTACAGATGTCATCACCTTCAAAAATTCATTACTACATTTTTGTATTTATTTATTTTGCATATTTCCCAAGAATATAAACTATCTCTGTATTCACATAACAACTGTCATTGAAAACTTTAATATTCATGTAAATTTATGACTATCTTACACTAATTCAGAACTTATTTATAGGATATTTCACATTATAAATTAATTTTTAGTTATAAATGCAAATGATTTTACTTAACAGCCGTAAGAATCCTCTAGGACTTATCGTTGCACTAGATGAACATAATACAGCAAAAGGAGATTTTTTCTGGGATGATGGAGAATCAAAAGGTGAGTGATATGCTTTTAGATGTTTATCCTGCCAATGTGACATTTTATCTGCATTGTTATAAATTGCAACCTTAATGGTAATTTTAGGCTTGGTGGTTACTTTATGAAATTTGATACTATCACTTGACTTACATATATTTTATTAAAATACGAAGCTTTGTGTGTTGGTTTGTTACTATAAAGCCTTTGATATGTACACATATATCTTTATATGTATACTTTACATATACATACCACTTTATATGCTGTATTAATATTTTTAAATTAGCACAGTTAATAAGTTTCCTGTTGTAAAAACTGTGACAGGTTTCCAATTGTAGGTAATTATAATACATAAGATTGTATTACTTCAAACAAGAAAAGAAACCCAACATTTAAAGCTTTAGTTAATTAACATCAAATTATTTGAGGTGTGAATATTTCACAATTTATTTCCATTATTGCAACTTAAATTTTGTTTGTTGACCAGCAAATTGTTGAATTCATTACATAAAAAACTAGTAACTGAGCTGGCTTATGTCATTAATTAACCCATAGTAAGTTATGCATTTAGATTTAATTAGTTACTTACAGCTTTTCTCGTAAATTTATATTTATTATCCCCTTTTCCTTAATAGATGATTATTAGGTGTTTTATAATTTGTGTACAAAATTTATAGCTAGCTTCTATTTTAATTCAGTATTTCTCAAATATGTATGAAAAATATTCTAAGTGCATTTAAATGTAAATGAGCACCCAAGTGTCTACCTTAATACCAAGAATTAGACTATGTATTATTGTAATTTCATATAACCTGAGAATATAGAATTTGTGAAAAAATTTTGGGTTTTTTGTGTGATGTATTTATAAAAATGGAGATATTTTAAAACTCTCACTGGGATTCAATAATTTTCTCACTTGTGATATTCACACTTAACCAACATTTGTTCAAATAAGTAATTCTAAGAATTAAAATCAAAATTATTCTATAAAATAGTCTATTCACTGGAAGATCTTTCTTGATGAAAGCTGAGTTAAGTAGTATTTAGAGTTATTTATCATAAGTGTCCTCCATTCTCTTGTATGTCTTAATGAATGCAATTTTTATGTCATTGTCCTGACTCCCAAATTCGTATGTCCGTATTAGACCACCGTGTACTTTACCTTTCTGCTTGTATATGTAACACAAATCTGAAACTACCTGTCCAAACAGAACTCAGCCTCACCATCATGTGTCTGTTGTACCTTGAGTCTTCTTTGTCAGTTGATGGTGACTTCATCTCTAAAGATGTCAAACATATTGAAGCTTACTATGCTCTTGTACAATCTCTCTTTTGATTCTTCATTCTAGATTCTCTTATTAGTTCTACTGCCATCACTAGTGTCTTCATTTTTAATTTTTGGTTTACAAGTGCATAGGTTTTGTTGATGCCTTTTGCAATTGACTTACAATCCAGTAGGTATGATTCCTTTAAAAGGTGATTCAAATCCTCACATCTTGTGCAAAACCCACTAACGACAATCCATTTACACAATTAGGAATCTCCATCCTTATACAAATCTGGAAGGCTTATCATGATTTGTGCTTTTGTATATCTACATACATTTACACCACACATTCCCCAATCCCCACTGCTGTTCATTTCCCCATTCAATGCCAGCAGACCAACAGTCTCAGTCTTCCTTAAATACTATGGACACTGAGCACACTACGGTGAGCCCTACAATGAGAAAAGGTTCCAAGCAATTTACTACATAGAAGTTCAGCAAAAGTAGATTCCAACTGAACCTAAACTATTGTAGCCATCAGATCCAGAATTTTCTGGATAATAAATTTTCAAGCAAATATACAACCAGTAGGGTGATCTTTAACACTGATTCTGAGTCTTATTTTATTCTTAAGGTTAAAATTATAAGTAAGATGGTGTCATTGATAGCATTTTAGATGAATCCTTGGATTCTATTATAATTTTAAGTTTCTGTCAAGTTATTTTAGCCTTAATACTCAATTTGTTTACAAAAAGCATGCTGTAAAAAGTTTTTTCATATTTATAAGAAAAAAATTAAAATTTTATTTAATTTTCCTCATTAAATTTTATTTCAGTTATAGATTAAAGTTTATTTATATCTTTAACATTTCCCAATTCATTCTCTTTCCTCAAATAATGAAAAGAGATATGAAATGAAATTGTGGTATGCCATATCTCCCCAGGAACAGCATTGCTGTATAAATTCATAGGTAGAGAACAGGATATAGTAGTGTTCAAAATAATACACTTGTAATAATGTATCTTTTACTGTAAGTTTTATTTTCTGTGAATTTCTACAAATATTTTACCACTTGTTGAAAAATTAAACCTTACGTTTACTTACCAAGAAGGTAAAACATCAAGTTAATTTGTTTATAAATGGTTGAAAAGTGATATAAAATGATCAATTTTTTAGTGTTTTTCAGCAATAAATAGTATTTAATCCTCAAAAAAGTGTTGTGTAACTAAAAAAAGAAGAGCAGATAATTTAGTTTCATTTTGATCAGATAATTTCTTTTTCCGTTTCAGATACCGTACTAAATGACACATATATTTTATATACATTTTCAGTTCAATCCGAGGTAAGAATTCTCCTGGGACATATAACTAAATGTATATTTTTTAATGTATAGTTTATTTTTTGACAGGGATTACTATTAAACCTTTATGTTTCCCTCCAATTTTAATGAAATGAAACAAAATCAATAGTTAAATTTAAAATATAATATTTTAAGATAATTTGCTCACAATTTAGAAATTCAAATGTGATAAAGGATTTTTATCATAAAATTGGGGAACTGAAAATTTAAAATCAATACATTTTAAAATGTTTTAATAGTCACAATGATAATTGGTTTTGAACTTGATTGAAGATGAAAAATGTATGCATGCTTTAAACTTTCAATAACTAATATGGATGATTTTCTCAGCAGTGTTTATTTATTGTTTTTGCCAAAGCCAAATTATTCTTTGTCAATGTTAATGTTAGAGTAAAGAGATTCGTAATATGATTTGTATCAGGAATGATTTAGTATATTTTTGAAAATATAGTTTTACAGTATATGTAGAAAAAATGAAAATTTGCTTGCATGGGAAGAGCTAGGGAACATAGAGAGGTAAATGATTGTATTTTTTCCTTTTCTCAAACCCTATAGTTATTACAGTTTTCATCTAATGACTTAATACTTATGTACTCTGTTTTTCTCCAGAACACTTTAGAAATTACATGCACACATTCATCATATGAGGAGGGAACATTTTTAGCATTTGAAACGATAAAAGTCCTTGGGGTGACAGAAACTATTACAGGAGTCACAGTAGAGGAAAATGATCACTTAATACATGTTCACCATAATTACAGTTATGATCCTTCTGACCAGGTAAATATAATGTTTTTAAATATTTTAACTGTCATATACTTTCCTAACTTAACACTGTAGAACCATTCAGGCACTTGTATTTTTTATATTGTTTTTATGACACATCTTTCTCTTACCTTCCATTATCTTTCCTTCCCTCCCTTTCCTTCCCACTTTCCCTTCCTTCCTTTCTCCCTCCCCCTCTCTCTATTTCATTCTTTTCTGTATAATGCCACATTAACTCCTCTATAACTTGTCCTCACACATTGCATAGTGGATACAATAAAGGACAATATTATAGAAATATGTAACTCTCTCTTTTTATTCTAGGAGCTTCTGTAATAAACAAAGAAATCAATTTTTTCTTCTCTGCATACTCTATAAGAGAATTAATGTTTACTTTATTTCTAGTATGTCTCAAGAATGTTCAGTGCCCTTGACCTCCCGGGAGCGGGGGACCACCAGGTTGCCTAAGGAGGGGTGAACCGGCCCAGGTCGGAAATGGAGCAGGTCAAGAATGTTCAGTGCCCTAAATTTCACATCTCATTCATTCTCTGTAGAACCCTCTTTTAGTAGGGATTTCTGTCTCATTTTACAGCAGAGGAAACTGAAGACAGCAGGAGATATAAAAATACTCAAGGACAATAAATGTCAGAACTAAGGAACTCATGTTTGGATTTAAAAATAATGAATATCATGCATTTTCTACAATCTCTTATAGCTATCCCATTTTTGAAGTTCTAACTTTTACATTTTTCTTCTTGCTATTCTTCAAAAAGTACATCAAAACTATTAATGATTGGTTTTGAAAAACTTCTGTGGTTGCCATATTTTTAGGTTGTTCATGGTTCAATTAAAAAAATAATCTTTACCTTTTCTTCTTCCAAGGTCCTTCTAATTACAGATCTCAACTTGAATCTTGGAAAAAGCTTTCGAGTGAAATGGACACAATCTTTTGTAGAAAGTGAGAGATTTGGTTGTTATCCAGATAAAGACACTGTAAATGAAGACGATTGCAAGAAGCGTGGTTGTTTGTGGGAAACGGTAACAAGAATTTTAATTATGACTCATGATATGATTTCTGAATAAGCATTTCAGTTTGAACTTTTCCTGTTACACTTTCTAATTCTTCAACATATAAATTAAATTCATACAGGAAATTATGTCAAATTAACACTTCTGATAAAAAAATCCATCTTTAACATTAATTAATTCTTCAATGACAAAGCTTGGGAAATGCCAACTTGGTTGGATGTGTAAATTGCTTTCCAGTTACATTGGATGGTATAAATTTATTTAATAAAATAGCACTCTGTTTGTTGCACTTTATTAGACATTAGGGCTGTAAATGACCAGCTAAATTGACTATAATATTTGCCATTGGTAGATAGTATTCAAAAGCATTGTTTCAAGTTATTACAACTTATGAAACTGAGTAATGGGTTAGGTCTGTTCCACTAAGGGTAACAATTTCTATCTGATAAGTTTGGACATTCTTTCAACAAAATAATAATGGCCTTGGATGGCAGATGTTTTTACTAGTGTTACAGGATAAGAGTATAGGAAATGTCCACTCTTACTATGCTGTTCCTTATTTTGGGACTTTTGATTTCACAATGGGTTTTTGAGAGCAGAAAAATTTATTTCATACAACACTAGTTAATTTCTCCAGTAAAATTAAAATACATCTGCCAGCAGAATCCTAGGAATGTCTGCATTTGTATGAGACAATACATAGAGTCTCTGCTTCTAGAAAAAAAAATTGCGCCATTCCTCTTCATTGTTTGATAAAGCCATATAATTTTTATGATTGGAAAAGATCTAGGAGAAATTGATGATAGGAAGAAATGAGGAGGAGGAAAGAATCTGAGATCAAGGGAAGACAAATGGTGGAGTATATTTCATTTCTCCTGTACCGTCTGTTTAAATTACAGCTCTGCACTCAAATCCTTACCCATTCCCTGCTGCCTTCAGAGCATGCTTACTTACTTCTCTTATCAAAAGCTAAATAATAACACTAAAGCACAAATATTGTCTAGTCATGAAAATGTAAAATACTTTTCCTAGAGCTATTACCATTTCATCACATTACAGATTATTTTGTTTTGTTTTACCTTTTTGAGACTGGGTGTCACTCTGTATGTTAAGCTAGCCATGAACACACAAACTTCATTACTCAAACTCCTGAGTCCTGGGATTACAGGTGTGTACCACCATGCTCCACACAGGCCTAGTAGCTTAAAGATTCTGATATCAAATAAGTGAAGCTTTAACTTTAGGATAACATACATAAGAAGACTATTTTATTTGGTGATTTGAGCTATAGACATACTTTTCTGTGTTTCTTTATACTACACTGTCTCTCATTTAAAAAGTATTTATTGAAACCTACGGTATTCTATTCACTGCTCTTGTTGAACAAAATAAAACAAAATACACCTCTTCTGTTTGAGTTCATATGTCACTGTGAGAAAAAAACCAAATAATGTGCATTATATTACACGCATATTCTGTAGAAAAATTAAGGTGGGAAGGGAATGGGTGGAAGAATTCCAGTTGTATAATATTAGCAATAGAACAGGACAGGTTTATTTGGGGAAGTGACGTTTGCCTTAAAAAATGAAGGAAAGAATGGGTGGGACTAGCATTCCAGAAGAAAGAAACATCACTCTGAATTGTCTGAGAGGTAAGCGATTCCCTGGTTTGGTTCATAACTAGCAAAGAGGCCAGAATTCTGACACAGAATTAATGATGAGAAGATAAACAGGAGAAGAGATCATAGATGTTGAAAAAGATAATGTAGATCAATTATTCAGGCCTTTATTCAGTATTATGAGTTTTACCCTGAGATAGGATGCTACTGTGACACCTAGTTGACAAGACTGAACTTCCTTATTAATGAAACCAAAAGGCTGTGCTTAAAATAGACCAAGGCAGGGAGACCACAAATAAGTATGTGATAATAAGCAAGTTAAAATAAAATGAACAAAATGATTCAGTGTGGTAATAGTAGAATTAATAAGAAGTAATTCACTATGTGCTTATTTTTAAGATAAAGCCAAGAAACTTTGTTCTTTGATTGGATGTGGAATATGAGACAGACAAAAGATAACAATAGCTCCAAATTCTGATTTGATTATCTGGGGGAAAAAGTTATAAACAGATTAAGAAATCTGTGGGGGGAATATAAGGCTTGGCAAAGAACCACAAATTGTGGTTGAGATTTCTAATAAAATTCCAGTGTATCTATACATGTGTGATATGTGTTTAAATCTTTGAAATGGAGAGTTTTATATCACAGGTTGGCTATACAATTAACAGTCAGTATGTATGCAGTGTTTAAAGCCAGGTTATGATCTGACATCATGAAGGCTGTGAGCTTGAACAGATAAGGGAAGAAGATATCAAGGATAGAAACTTGGGTCATTACAAAATTTCATCAGGACAATTAAGAGGAGTAAGTATGGAAACTGAGGAAGAACAGCAAAAGTGTTAGGTTGAAAGAAAAGAAAATACTGGATCCTGGAAGCCTAGTGATCAATATCTTTTAAGATAGAGAAAATAATTAATTGTGTGAATTATACTACAAATCAATAAAATGAAGTCTAAAAACTGACATGTATATTTCACACCATGAAAGTCTTTGATAACATTGAAAAGTAAAATATTGATGGACTGCTCAGAGTATCCTCCTAGTTAGAGGATTTCTTATGAAAATGAAGCAACAAATTGCAGACAGTTAATACACTAAGTATAGTAAATTATGTGTGTTCTCTAAAGAAAGCAACAAAACTTGGGGTAATAGCTGAAGAAGTTAGTGAGGTGATGATTTCTTTTTTACTTTAAGATGGAAGAAATACAATCAGGTAATACTGGTAAGGATAACTTGCATGAATGTAACATTAGCAGTGTAGAAGAGTGGGGAGGTGAAGAAGAAATGCTTTTGCAGGCCTTGTGTGTATTGGATACTCAAATAAAATGTTTTCTTTAGATATAAGTCAGACAGTACCTATCATGGAATAGGAAGTGAAGAGGGAGGCAGGTATGGTTTTTTAGTCATAATGTTTGTTCTGATGGCTTTCCTTTTTACACTTAAGTAACAAGGAAATCCATGCGGTGATGATGAGAATAGGATGGTCAGAGAAAAAAGAAAAATGAAGTGCAGGGCAGGGTGATGGGGAAGAAATAGGGAAATAAAGGATGATCCCATCACTACGACTCACTGGGTCTTTGTGACTACAGGAAGGGAGGACAGCCGCATGGTTGCACATATTTCTCAATGCTTATGTGCACAATTGTAGGCATTGAAAATGCAGAGTTTAGATTTTTTTTTTCCATGATTGTGGTTTTGTCAGTGAGTGTAAGAAGTCTAGCGATTTGTGTATAGATTGAAAGTGAATGAGAAAGTGTGGCGTTAGTGATGGAGAAAAGATATAAGCTTGATAAGGAAGGAACAAAAGCATCAAGGGTGAGGAACACGTAAGGACTGCATGGTTTGGTTACTACGGCTGGCTGTGGTCACTGCTTACTAACATAGATGCCAAATATAAAACTACCTGTCTCCAAGGTTAACATAGCAGGAAATTATTTATATTCCCTAAGTCACTGCTAATTTCAGAAAAAAAAATATTACTTTTGGATTCTTCCTAATCATCTCTGAATTAACCTAATTTCATGCCTGTACTTAAAATTGACATCAGATCACATGAATTCAGTAATGATATATTGTAAGAGCTTATGAAAATATCACAATGTATCTCAGTACAATGATAACATAATAAAAAAGAAAAAGAAATCACATGAAATCTAAGGGTGCTAACTGGTCTACCATCATCTGAAAAACTCAGATCTAAAATTCTCAGAATTACATTTCAAGGAGTAACTTCTCTACTTCTAAAATATATAGATATATGTGTAAAAGGGCAGTTTTGTGCATTAAAAATGCTTAATGATATATTTTAAATTCAGTTAATTCAGTATTTCTGAGGTAATTCAAGTATTTTAAAATTTCTTTCTGTAGAATATTCTATGGGTCTTTACCTTTCTCTTTTTTCTGTTCTTTCTTTCTTTTTCTTTATTTCACTTCTCCCTCTTTCTCTCTTTTTCTTTTAATTCCTTCCTCCCTCCTTCCCTTGCTTCTTCCTTCCCTCCTTCTTTTGTTCCTTCCTTTCTTCCTCCCTCCCTCCCTCCCGCCTTCCCTTCCTTGCTTCCTTCTTTCTTTTCAGTGCTGGGAATCCAACCCAAGGCCTTGAGCATGCTATGCAATTGCATATCCCTTATGCAATATATTCCCAGCCCTTATCACGTAGATCTTTAAATGCCCCTATGATAAAAAAGCTATGAAAATAACAATATTGATGGGAGCTATCAATAAGAAAGACCAATGAGATGAATGACAGAATTAAAAGGATAAAAGGTAGAAAAGTAGGTATGAGGAGTCATAGACAGACTTGGGAATTTTCTAAAGTCAATTATATTCCTGGTTCCTTTCAGGAAGTGCATTTGGAATAAGTATGATAGTATTCATATCAGGTAAGGATTACTTTAAACTGACACTTTAGCACCTAAAATCTGAGTAGATTAAGCAAAACAGGACTTATTTTTCTCTCACAGAAAAGAATCCCAAGCTTAAGACACTGGTCCTTTAATGTCTTCAATGCTTTGGGTCCTCTTTATTTACTGTATGATTTTTATCTTCAAGTTTTATCATGGTTTCAGCCAATGTGTTTGCATTCTACCCACATTTGGGGAATACAGAAAAGCAAAGGTCATTCAAATTTAACCAGTTTATATCCCGTTCTTTTGAGGAGTTTTGGGGATCATACACAACTTCAATTTGGTAATTGTAGATGAGTGTGCTGCCTTTCCTAGCAAAATAAGTCAATAAAAAAGGAAAACAAGGAGAAGGAATTTTGGTAAATCAATTAGTCTTTGGTCCACAGTTAATTATTTTTTTCCTAAGTCTTAGCTCTCACACTAATTAGCTCAAGTAGTTCTGATCTTTGGTCACAGGTCCCATTTTAAATACTGGTCAGGATGTAATTAGCCAGCATAGAAACTAGTCATAAAAGAAGTTGAACTAGTGTCATTATAATTAGAAAGCAAAAATCTATACACATGTGCTTTTGAAGGTTGTCACAGGCCCATTTTCACAAACACAAACAAATCATTATGAAGAGTAAGACCAAGTATGGGAGAAAAATGTATGCGTAAACATACTAAATTTTTGTAAGGGCAACCTAATCCAATTCTATTTGTTTCAATTGAACACTTGAGGCTTTTGACTTTCTCCTATGCTGGTCTATCCTTAGACTCAAAATATAAATATTTCATTTAAAATTTTGGAACATGGTGTCTCAAATGCATAATAGATATTTGCATTGTAAATCACATAATATGTGATTAAACATAAGTCTACACTATTTTTTTCTAATTTAGATTATGTCCTCTTCTCTTACGTATTTATCTAAATTAATCTCATATAATAGTTATACAAGGGGTTTTGTCGTGTTGTTTCCATATCTGCATACAATGTAACCTAGTTAGGTTTATCTCCACCACTATTCTCCCTCACACATTTCCTCTCTTTTTAAAATGACTTCTGCAGGTTTCAATGTTCCATCTTCATGCACACATGTAAAGTTCACTATTTTTTTATTCCAATATTCCAATATTTATATTTTCTGACAATGAACATACATTATTTTTAGGATTCTTCAGGCACCAATGCACCTGAGTGTTACTTTGCTAGAGAACACAACCCTTATTCACTTTCGTCAACTCAGTATTTATCAACGGGCATAATCGCTGACCTCCAGTTTAACGATGCAATTGAAAATACACAACTGCCATCTTACCCCATCTCGAGGCTTCGTATAGAGGTGAAATACCACAAAAATGACATGGTGCAGTTTAAGGTATGTTTAATATAAACTGTCCCAATATTTGGCAACTATCTTGAGATAAAAATATATTGCATCCATTAGATTTGGGAATTTCAATATAATATTAATTGACTTGACATTTTGATTCTTTAAAAATATAATTTCTGATAAAGCAATTATTAAGTAAAGAGTGAACAGATGAAAGTTCTCACTTTTGCTACCTGTGAATTATTAAACATGCAGTGGTAATTTTTAAAATTAATTTTTGTTAAGTAGAGAAATCACTTAGAATTAAATTATCTTCATAGTTCCATCAAAATAAACAAAACAGAATGCTTACTGTGTCCATTATTTCAAAAATACTGTTTTTAATTTTCTGTCTAATGCAATAGGAAATCAAAAAGAAATAATTTGTTTTAATATTTACAGTTAGTAATTATATTTTTAAGAACCACAGACACGAGCAAACACAAATTAGTTTAAACACTTATTGCATGATTATATGTTTGACAAAATATTGAAAATTTTGTTTAACTATGACGTGATATGAAATTATAAATATTCCATAAAATGGAATATTTAATCTTAAATGTTTCATTTTTCATTTCTTGGTCTGTGGAAAATGAAGTCCAAAGCATTTTTTAAAAGTTCAAAATAAATGTTCTATTTGATTCGAAATTGTTTGTACATACGGAATGCTATATAGGCTTTATTGGCCATGGATTTAGAATTAGGTATTTAGAATTGGTCAAAAATATTCTTGTGTCGAGCATAATCTAAAATTCTTTATATCTGTATGCTATGTCAGCAATAAGAACAAACTCTATATTCGTTACTATCTCTGTGCAATAGATTTATGATGCTGAAAATAAGAGATATGAAGTTCCTGTACCATTAAACATTCCAACCACTCCAGAGAGTACGTATGAAAACAGACTTTATGATGTTGAAATCAAGGAAAACCCTTTTGGCATACAGATTAGACGGAGAAGCAGCGGAAGAGTTATGTAAGTTACTGAATTTTTTGATATGAAGGATATTAATTTTAGCTTATGAATGGAAAAGCAAGTTGGTTGTATTGACAGCCTTCACAAGGCTAGAATAGCAACATGGTAAAAGTTTTAGCTGTGTAAAATAACTTTGCCAGTTTTAACAGCTTAAAACTGCACAATTAGCTTATCCAAATAACTATCTAAAAGGACTGGTCTGAATTTTCATTTACACTATGGAGTAGATAATTTTCATTAATTAATATCAGTCTCAGTGTTCTAATTGAGAGCCAAATTAAGAGGCATGATGAGTGTCAGTAAGGACAAGTAATTAGAGCTGAGATATGTAAATATGTTATTAGAATATTATTTATAAGGGATGCAATTCTTTTTCTTCCTGGTATTGATGGAAAGAAATTGAGACATAAATCTATATTTTTTAGGTTTCTGTGAATGAATTTATTTAAAATTATTGTCCTTATTTCAGTCAGGCTATACTATATTAAATATACTTTCATTTATTTTAAGTGTGATATACCATTCTTTTGTAATATTTCTCCCTTTTTGTTCCATATATAGAAAATTTTTGCCACAATTATCTCAAGGGAGAGAGATAATGAATGATATAGCATTTTGATGACACATATTATTAAGTAACTTTTAATTTGGGCTTTTTGAAGGAAAATGGTTCCTTTATTTTTAATTTGTTCTATGTTAAATTTATGTCCTCATGACTTTTCCATACATGCATATGGTACTTTGACCATATTGACTCCTCTCTCCACTATTTTCCCCTCCCCTTCTATCTCCTTACTGGTCCTCCTTTAATTTTCATGACCTTGGCTTTTTTGTGTAGCTTTGTATCATTTTATTTTGTTTACCCCTTGCTTATACAAATGAAACAAAACATTTGATACTTGATTTGGTGGGACTGCTTATTTCAGTTAACATAATGATTAGTCAAACATGAACAGTTATGTTATTATATTATTTTTCACATATGAAATATGTTTTATATATGTGTAGTCCTTAACTCAGTCAAACAAAAATTGTGTTACAGTAATTTTCTGTAATATTTAACACCTGAGTCTAATTAGGCATATAGGGAAAATATTTTATTTCAGATGGCCAAAAAGAAGAATTAGCATTATGATTTGTGATATCATCTTTTATGCATTTTTGTAGGAATAGAATTTTTTTCTTTTGTTTTCAGTTGGGATTCTCGCCTGCCTGGATTTGCCTTTAATGACCAGTTCATTCAAATATCTACTCGTCTGCCATCAGAATACTTGTATGGTTTTGGGGAAGTGGAACACACAGCATTCAAGCGAGATCTGAACTGGCACACCTGGGGCATGTTCACAAGAGACCAGCCTCCTGGGGTAAGTACCAACACGCCACTCCTCATGAGGAACCAAGACCATTAATGGGATCCAGGTCACTACTGTGTAGCTTCATACTTCAGTATTGAAGTGCACAATGAAATCAGGCTAGAGATTACCAGAGCTACTACAATGATTTTCTGAAAAGTAAAAAATATTATCATAAATTTTTGATAAAGGTTAAGGAAAGAAAACATTTTGCTTAACTACAATAACAAGTCAGGATGTTGATGTAATTCTTTAACCCTTTCAACTGCATAGGAAGAACATAAAAGTTCATTATTCCTAAAAGTGACTGTTCAGAGTCCTTCTCAATTATTATTTTTCCTTCTCAGGCAATGATTTGATATTTTTTTACAGCTATAGCTGTATGCTTTTATGGGGTCAAACTACATCTTTAAAAATATTTCATATATTTATGAAACTTTTCCCAGAGTTCTGTCTTGTTAATAGGACATACTTTATGAATAATTTATTCACTTTACAACATATAATCTTAGTTATAATTGTTATAAACATACCATGTAAAATGCATTTTAATAAAAATATAGGTCATTTTCATTTTCCACATGTAATGTGTATGTAAAAGATATATTCAGTAACAAAATATAAATTTGTGTACTTTTGCAACCATCTTTATTGTGAGGTGCTTAATTTTCTCACATAATAGTCTAAACGTTTTTACTATAATAGCCCAAATAAAAACATGGTTTTTAATTTACATCATCTTGGAATAATGTTTTTTATCATAAACTTCTTAAAAATTCTTGGACATTGGTGTAGATATTATTTAATATAATCTTGTTTCTTAATACATAAAATTAGTGAAACTGAAGTGTGGGGAAATGAATTAAATGTTTTGTGAATGTAAAATTTTATATCTTTATTAGCTTATTTTCTTGATAGCTTGGTTATTTTAATCACTTTAATCATTTCTAGGACATTGTGTTAGAGAAAAAGAATTGTTAACTTATAAATAAAGGAGGATATATATCTTCTGGGGAAGAATCCAGCTATCCTAATGTCAATGACATTGTACATCAGTTAATGTGACAGATTTGTGAAAATTACATGTTTATATATTCATTCGCATGTACTAAAGCAGTCATAGTTCAAAAACAGAGAAATTATTTTCCAAGAGTTATACATTTATTTTAATTCAAGGATAGTTTGAGTGCACTAAGAAGGATCATTAAATTCAAGTGTCAATTTATATTGAATTTTTAAATAACATTGATTACACACTATTGTTACTAAGTATGCATTATGCTTAATTTTTATTTTAGTATAAACTGAATTCCTATGGATTCCATCCATATTATATGGCTCTTGAAGAAGAAGGCTATGCTCATAGTGTTCTCTTACTGAACAGCAATGCAATGGGTAAAACACTTGTTTGTTGAATTCCTCATATAAAATATTACAAATTCAACTTTTTAATAAATTAATATCTTAGACATAGATAAAAATAGAGTCTTATTTTGGACTTCCAGATGTTACATTCCAGCCCACTCCTGCTTTAACTTACCGTACCATTGGAGGAATTTTGGATTTTTATATGTTTTTGGGCCCAACTCCAGAAGTCGCAACACAGCAGTACCATGAAGTATGATTGTGTATTTATTTTATTTTACACAATATTTTCTTTATATTGCAAAATCATCCTCTTATATCTTCTATAACAACTTTTTTTTAAAGGTAATCGGTCCACCAGTCATGCCACCTTATTGGGCTTTAGGATTCCAATTGAGTCGTTATGGATACAGAAATACTTCAGAGATAAAGCAACTGTACGAGGAGATGTTGGCTGCTGAGATTCCCTACGTATGTACATCAATTATAAGATAGTGTTAAATATGGAATATATAAAAGCAGAATGAAATACATGTTTAGATCTTGTTAACACCTTATAAACTGGATACACAATTTTTATATAATATCTGTATCAGATTGATAAAGGAGAAGGGATAACAACATTCATTTTCCTTCTTTCTCCTCAGTTCTATGACCTTGACTTGTACTAAACAAGTCTGCATGCACTTGTTCTCCCCTCATAAATTTTGGGTTGCATAGGCAGACAGACACAATGTAGAGTCCACAGTAATCTGTATCCATTAATTAATGTGAAAATTTATAGAAAAACTGTTACATGTGTAGCTGAGCTATGTCACTCCTGGAAAAGACAATAGTAGTAATGTATAATGCAGATTTGAGGTTTTGTGAAATATTTTCTTCCTTCAATATTTGGGAAATTATGTATTTTAAAGTACTACAAATAATCAGCTCCTGTACTACAGTATTTTATCAAGAATAAGGAATGCCAGGAATCCTCTTAGTAACATGTGAACTTGGTGTGTACGAGCTCATTCTAAAAATATTCAGAAAATCTTCATTTTAAGACTTTTGTACTGAGGACATTACCATGGGAAAACTGGTGATATAGACATATGTAAGTGCAAATTCAATTTAAAAAAGAGGTTTTCGGTATCATCCTACTATGTCACCCATCATTTTTGAAGAACTAGAAGAAGAAAGCAAGCTAATGTTGATTAACAGAAAATAATTAACATACTAGCTATTTAGGGATATATTGAAGATTCCATGATAAAATTTACACAGTGGCTAATTTAACTTTGTCCACAAATTTCAATATGTAAGCAGCTTTTATAGATAATACAAGAGGAATCGAACAATAATGGATGGTTTTTTTTAAATTTTCCTTTCCCCTTTTGCCACTATTAGAATTATTTGAAATTACTCCATATTTACTTTATAGTTCCCAGAAATAGAGCAGCAGTTTGTTTCTGTGTATACTTATGAAAAAATAATTTTTCAATTAATGTAATTTTGTAGCATCATAAATCCATTTACTTCATTTTTCTATTTTCTTTGGAAATTACATAACAAAATATACTGATTTAGAACTTTTACTTCTAAATGTTACTAAGTGAACGTTGACAAAACTGGACATGTATGCAAAGTTACTTGCCATATTCTTTCCATTTTTCTTTTATACAGGCTCTTGTATGTAGCCCTGGCTGTCTTCAAACTTGCAATCCACCTGCCTTATCTTCCTGTTGGTTGGGATTACAGGCATACCCCACCATATCTGTCTCACTTTTATTTCTAGAACACTGCATTACTTGATTTTTTAAAGATCAAGTGAAGAGCAGTTAAATTTTTATATCGCTGTTAGTTTCATAAATAGAACAGAATATGATATACTAGCTGCTGTGTGTTTTTTTGAAATTGCCACTATTCTTATGTATTTCAGGATGTTCAATACACAGACATTGATTACATGGAAAGACAACTTGACTTCACAATTGGTGAAAGGTTCCATGATCTTCCTCAGCTTGTTGACAGAATAAGAGAAGAAGGACTGAGATACATTATTATCTTGGTCAGTGATTATTTAATCTGTCATATTGTTTTGATTTTATTAATTCTCTTTAAATTATGGTAGGAAAGGTGTTTGAAATTAGGAACTATACCGTTTTGAATTTTACTCTCAATTCTAAAGCTTTCTTCCATTAAGACTTCATTTTATTTACTTAGGATGCCCACAGTTACCTTGTACTTAGGCATCTCATTAGACACAGAAGTCTAAGGCTGGGAGTCAAAGGCAGGATGTTTTCTAGTTACCATTCGGGCCACTTACTGGCCTCAATTTATAGCACTATCACAAAGTAAGGGTATGTTTTGTTTCCCATACAATTCTTGAGTAATTCTCCAGTATTGTTTTTGTTGTTTTTCACATTTAAAGCTCTGCCCAAGTTAGGAAGTCAGTGGAGAGAATTTTTATTAATGCCTTATAGGATCCATGGTAGGCAATCAGAAGTCTCACCAGAGAAATAAAACAGCAAAAAATGCTAACAAACTGACTTGAAATCATAGCTCTGCAATTTGTAAAGTTCTTAGAATTTTCTTCTAAGGAATTTTGAGGACAATAAAACTGTAGCAATAAAGTATTTACCATTTGTCCATATGAAAGTACAATCTTACAATAATAGAAAATTATAGTGTTTCACAATGGTTGCCTGTGTAGCTATACTTTTATTCCATATGATCCTTGTTTATGATTTGTTTTAATTCTAGGATCCAGCAATTTCAGGAAATGAAACAGAGCCTTACCCTGCATTTGAAAGAGGAATAGAGAAAGATGTTTTTGTCAAATGGCCTGGCACCGATGATATTTGTTGGGCAAAGGTAATCAATTAATGTATTAAAATATAATAATTATGAAAATGGTATTTCATTGAATATTAACCTTAACTAAAAATGTTAAAAGTATATTCAGAGGGAGAGATAAACAAAAATATGATTTTATAGCTCAGAAGACAAATTGTATTCTTTGAGCCAAGTCTAAATTATTAAAGATAAGGAAAGAATTCATACATGACAAAAAACCCAAAGTTACATTTCATTGTATTTCTTGGTATCTTTTGTGCTTTATTATAAAGTATCATTACCAGAATGGTTATTCATGATTGTATGTTGCAAGAGTCACTAAAGAGTTCTCTGAAAAGCATCTCACTAGTAAAAATAACAATGATTTTTAAGAGCTATAATTATATTACTAACTGGAACAAGGAATATCATTCACAAAATTTTGTGTAAGTAATAATATTCAGACCTGAGCAAATGAATATATTATATAAACTGCCTTGATTTTGTTTTATTATAAAACATACAAGAAAAAAATCTAATAGTATTTGTAATGAAAAAAGAAACCTTACAAAATCCCACAATGAGAAACATAATTAAATACAAAGTAACCTTTTTGGGGGGTTTTAGATTTAAATTAAGATATTAATGACAAAAGTGATGAAATTCAAACACAATCCATGCATTATTTAATTGTATGGCATTAACATTAATTGCTTGTTTTGATAATGATATCAAAGTTATATAGTATATTAATATTAGGGAAAACTGGATGTAGAAAATAGAAAAACTATACATAATATTTTTGTCACTTTTATCTAATTATAAAAATATTGCAAAATAAAATGGTAAAAAAATGAATTTTATGATACAATTATGGGAACATAATATTTTAAGAGACATACAATTGTAGAATGTGGTGTAGTGGCCACAGAGGGAAAATTTTCCCATTCTACTTTCTCCTCATTCCATATTCTACACATTTTCCAATTTCTACCCTCTCTTCCATTACTTTTGAGCACTATTTCCTATTAGTATTTAATCCCTTATAATACATTTGATTACAGTTGTTATATGCTTTTCATACTATTTCTCAACCAGACATATTTATTCCATGTATTGCTTTCAAAATCACCTACCACAAAAGTTGACCATTCTTTTTTTAATATTTTCCATGTTAAAGAACAGATTAACATAGAAAAAAAAAGAATAGTTTGTGAATGATTCACACATAAAAATTCTGATGAAATAATTGAATAGGTTGCAGATCTAGGGAGCTTGAGACTTTAATATACCTTTAATAACATATTCTCTTCATTTATGCCACAATCATATCATCATGAGTTCATTTTTAAGTGTTTTTCCATTTCTTCTCTCTTACAGGTTTGGCCAGATTTACCCAATGTAACAATAGATGAGACTATTACTGAAGATGAAGCTGTTAATGTAAGTTTTTCCTTGATTAACTATATTACTAAAAGAAGTTCAGAACTTTGACTTAACAGTGATTGTTGACCATTCTTTCGATATGAATACTTTCCTTTAAAAAGTAGATCGCTTCTCTATCAGACCATATTTAGGTCTCATTTACCTAAACTTTCCTAAATACAAAAAAGTGTCAGCCATCTAATTAAACAATTTTACATTTTACTTCATTTAATTTTGGTAATCATTCTTTAAAAAACCTATTTTCTTGTGGTAATAACACTTTATGTTAGATCTAATGTCAATAATATTTTATGTGTACAGTAAAGTATACATTATAGGGACTGTAGGGATAGTGTCCAGGATTTATTCATCATATATCAGTGCAATTTTATGCCCCATTATTGACAATTTACTGTTTTTCTCTTCTGCTAGCTTTGTACGTCTACTCTCTGCTTCTATAAATATGACAGTTTGGCTTACGTGATATAAGTGGAATCATGCAATGCTAGTACTTCTGTGATTAGCTTCTTTTTTTTTATTGTTGTGCAGAGTGTGGCTACATTGTAGCACTGACGAAGGTTCTTAGAATATATCAAGTATATTATACTAGAATTCACCCCCTCCATTGCTCTCATTCAGCCCCTCTCCCCATTCACGGAACAGTTTCAGCAGGTATCATTTTACATTTACGTACATGTGTACACATAATTTGCACTGTATTCATCCTCCTACCCCTTTTCCTGGCCACTTCTCCCCCCCCCCCACCTCCTGAACAAGTTCTGCCCTTGTGTTCTCCGATTTTGTAGAAGAAAAAAACATGAAAAAGAGAGACCTAACATTTTTGCTAGTTTGGTATAGTTACACAGGGAGTTTGCATGTGATAATTTCATGCATATATGTATTACAACCCCAGCTGATTCATCTCTTCTAATCCTTTTCACTTCTCCCTAGTCCACTTCCCATGGCAGCCTCGACCAGTTTAAGATTTCCATATTCATTCCTGTACAGTGAGCACATCAACCATTTAGTATAACATCCTCAAGATCCATTCATGAAAGTAAAATGAATGAAAAAGATATTTCATCTATGTGAAATTAAAAATGGAACAAGGATGATCATATTTATCTCAGAGAAAACAGATTCCAAGTCAAAACTGTCATAAGGGATAGAGGGACATTGTATACTGATGAGAGGGTTAACTCGTTAGGGATACAACAATTATGAATACATATGTACTCAGCAACAGAATAACAAGTATATAATACAAACACTGATAGAACTGAACAGAGCGATAAAAATCAATTTCAAAATAATTGAAATCTTCAGTACTTCACTTTCAATACTAAATAGAAAAACCTGAGAAAAATCAACAAAGAAACATTGGACTTGAACCACAAAATGTACAAAAGATACTTAACAAACATTCTTCCTAATGTAAGCTGAATTCACATTTTTCTGAAGAACACATAGAACATTCTTTGGGATATATCATGTGTTACATAATAAAACAAGCCCTAAATTTTGGAAAATTGAAATCATACCAAAATCTTTTCTGATCATAATGATATGAAACAATAAATCTATAATAGAAGGAAAACTAGAAATCACAAACACATAGAAATTAACACACTCTTGAATAACCAGTGAGTCAAAGGAGGAAACAAAGGAATTAGAAAATATCTTGAGATAAATTATAATGAAAATATAAGATAACGAAACACATGGGATAAAAAACACCTACATTGAAAAAGAAGAAAGATCTCAAATCTAATTTTATACATATAAAAACTAGAGAAAAAGAACAAATAAGCCCAAAGTTAACAAAAGGAAGAAAACAAAGACTGTAGCAGAAGAAAGTTAAATAGAAAATATGCAATGAAAAGAAAAATCATCAACAAAATGGGTCAAATGTCCTTTTATATCAATCAGACTGGCTTCATTATCACTCATGAGTGACTTGTGAATCTGACATAAACTTCTGATTTGGACACATAGGGTGGCTTTCACAACTTTTGTCCTGTGTGTCTGCTTTTGGTTTTACAGGCATCCAGAGCTCATGTAGCATTTCCAGATTTCTTCAGGAATTCCACAGCACAGTGGTGGGCGAGGGAAATTATAGATTTCTACAATGACCAAATGAAATTTGATGGTTTATGGATTGTAAGTAAACTGAAGAGCTGGACATTTAAGTTACTTATTGTGTAATGACTATGAAAATTCTTATTTAAATCTAATAATGTCAACATAATATTCTTTGTGAATATTTGCTCACTTTTTCCATACAACTTCCTTATGCAAAGGATTGCTAAAATTACAATTTTAAAAATTCAATACATGTATATGTATACTATTTCTTGGGCACTTTCAAGTTGACCAGTGAATCTGAGTAGCCTACTTTTTGAGTTATTAAAATGCATTAAAGAGGTTGGGCAGAGTGACTCATACTCTACTTGGAAGACAGAAAACAGGAGGATCACGATCTTAGGCAAAAAGTTAGCTGGACACACACCAACCAATTAGTCAGGTGTGGTAGTGTGAGCCTGAGATCTGATCCTATCTACACAGGAAGTTTAAATGGGAGGATCTCTCATTTAACATCAGTTTACTCAGAATTTTTTAACTGAAGAAATTTTATAGACATGCTGCTATGTGCAAGCCTGGAGAATATGAAAGTACATAGGACATAAGTTTAAAAATGAAGAAAAGAGATATGTAATTGCTATCCAAATTTATGAGCTGACAGATATTCATCCAAGTGTATGTCTGAGACTGACATCTTGACCTAGAGAAGATGTCTTGTTTGCTGGAGGAGGAAGTCACAACTGAATGATATTCAAGTTATAATGTTAGTTTATGGTCCATTTCCACATAACTTCTGAGACTCAGATGTGCAATTAGTAAAGATACTATTTCAAGTTTTCTGTATTTTAAAACTGTTTCTTGTAATTTTCAAAGTAAAACCGATTTTTACCAGGTTCAGGGAAAGAAAAGAAGATGGTAAGACATACACTATTATAATTTAATCTATGTCTTGGAAATATAAAAAATAATTTGTTATATGTGAATTGAATATATACTACAGAGGAAAATAAGACATTTTATATTTCTCAAAATTAGTCACAAGATTATAAAAGAAGTTAACAAATATTGAGAAACAAACTTTTTAGTGTCACTGAGATGCTTTATATGTTTGTTGGAATTCTGAACAAATATCATATTGTTCAATGCTATCGAAAATTACTTGCACTCCAATTGGTTCTTTTCAGAATATGCATTCTAATTCTTTAAAAGCTTTTTCCCCCCTTTCTCTTTCATTAAGGATATGAATGAGCCATCCAGTTTTGTAAATGGAACAACCACCAACCAATGCCGAAATGATACCCTAAATTATCCACCGTATTTTCCAGGTATGATGTCATTGTTGTGCCTTGGATCTTATCATGTTATTGTTATTTATTTACTGATGTGTGGATATCTTAGGAGGCAGAGAATAGAACTCATTTAGTAAATTTTCACCACCCATTCACACAATGTGCCATCCCTTAACCTTTTACCAGTATTATTTAGTACTATTCTGAGAGATAAATGAAGAAATTGTCTTATTTCTTTAACAAATTCTAAAGTTGTTTGAAATTTTTACTGCAGTTATCTTATGTTTTTTTCAAGATTTAAAGGTATTATATACAAGGCAATTTTTTTTTAAATAAAAAGGCTTTACATAAACTCCATGTTAGGCAAGAACTCTACTACTTGAGCCACAACTTGAACACTTTTGCTTATATTTTATATTGAGATAGGGTTACACTAACTTTGCAGGGGCTGGTCTCCATCACAAGATCCACATGCCTCCTATCAGGGAAGCTGGGATTATAGGGGCACACCACAATGCCTAGCTTTTAAATGAAAAAAAAAAGGCAATGTGTCCTACGAAAAAAGTGGATAAAAACAATCACAAATCACATTAGTATGGCTCTTTGTTTTGATACTTTATATTACTAAATGGATTTTTTTAAATAAAAGTTTATTTAGTCAGCATTTTCAATCTCAATTCATAAAATTTAGGGAAGTAGTTCTTTTTTAAACTTTTATTAATTCCTATAATTCTGTTACTACCGCAGATCAGTTTGCATGTATTTAGCATAGAAAAAGTATACAAATGGTTAAAATTGTTTAAGAACAATGAAATTTATTCACCAAAACAGTGTATCATTGTCTACAATGTTATAGTTAAATCACAGAATAAGTTATATTCTATGGCACATTAGGGTGCACATAATTGCCAATAATGTATTATATATCTCAAAGTATTTAGATAGGTGGATTTTTAATGCACTCACGCTAAAGTTTAAGGTGATGCATATGCTGATTACACTGAGTTAATCCCCAGTCAATGAGAACATGAATCATATCAGAACAGTTTACTTTGCAAATATATATATTCACACTCAAAAAATTAAAAAAATAAAAATAGTTACAAGTAACACATTTCCACACAGTACTTTTTATACTACATCAATATTTTTAATTTGTTTTCCCTAGAACTTACAAAAAGATTTGAAGGATTGCACTTCAGAACCATGTGCATGGAAACTGAGCAGATACTTAGTGATGGGTCATCAGTCTTACATTACGATGTTCACAATCTATACGGATGGTCACAGTTAAAGCCTACCTATGAGTAAGCAATGTTTGTAACTATCCTCTTTGACTCTGATCCATTTGATCTTGCAGCTCTTAACTTTAATGTTACCTACTTTAAGAGTCCTGCTGACCTCTTGTAGCTCTATCTTTCCCATTTTTTTCTCTGCAAACTACTTCTTTCCTCAAAAGACTTGAAATATGTTTCTATCAATTGATCTATCTATCATCTATCTATCTATCTATCTACCTATCAACTATTCACCTATCATCTGTCATTTATCCATCATCTATATTGTTATTATTTTAATTTTCATCTTATTCCAAAAAGAATTTTAGACCATTTGTATTTTAGTGGTCTCCATATACCAAGCACAGAACTCAATGATCAGTGTTGAATGAATCAATAAATAAACAACATAATTTGATGGTACCAGTTAAGCAATTAAAGCCTCACTGAAACTGTCATTTACATCCATTATTAGCAACTTCAGCATCTTTGATTCATCTTGAGCTTCTTTTTTAATGTTCACACTAATTATCTACATTATTAACAAACTTCAACATATGGCCAATTATCACAGAATGTTCATTATTCACTGCATATTATCCTTCTTTCTTTCTGCAGTGATACAGAAGTTGTATAATTCTGGGCATACAAAAGAGTACCCACTGGACATACATAGCTATTGAGCAAACGTGACTCGTGTTACTCAGGAATGGAATTTTAAAATTTATCATTAATTAAAAAGTATTAAATAATTAAATATGAAATAATAGGTAGATAATGGCCACTGGCTTTTTGTAGTCACCTGGAGATTATTTTTCCCTTTGAAACAGTCTTGTTATGTAACCAAGGCTGGGTTGGAGCTAAGAATTCTTCTGCCTGAGCCTCCTCAGTGCTGGGATTAGGAGATATTTTAACAAATGTTCATCTCGTTGAACTCTTCTATAGGCAAAACATCTGCATTTTAAGTGTTCCCGAGGTTGTTCAAATGAGCATTTAAGCTTGAAAATCACTATTGTAATACCTAACTGAAGTGGGCAAAAGAATGAAAGCATTTCGAAGTAAAATGTATGAATAAAAAAGCCTCTTGATTTTACATTTTGATCTTATTTCCAATACTTAATTCATTGAATGCAAAATAGGTGAGTTGATTAAGAAATTATTACTTGACTATATTATCACAAGCTTATTCACAAAATCCCCAAATAGAAACTTTCATTCATTTTAAAAGGGAAGGAAATAATTTTCAACAATGCCTTTTTATTGGGACAAATATTGTTTTTAATTAGTTTTACTGAAACATAATTATTGGGGCACCATGATCATCAACTAAGCTCACTTTGCCTGAAATCACAGATACCAAAGAAAAAAAAATTATAAAATTAATACTTACAATCAATATGCTCATTACTTTTTGTCATACTAGAAAGAACTATCCATAAAAACAACAAAATATTAAGAATTGACTAAAAAAAACTTGATGAAAGTTTTTAATTTAAAGGAAAATGAATAAATACTTCTTTCCATATAGGATAGTAACAATATGGTTTCTGACATATTATGGATGTTTACTGAATTTAAATGAATCAAAACATTATCTAATTTCAACTATCAAAATTGTGTAAATATGAATCTTTACTTCAATTTCTGTGTATAGACGAGGAAACATTTCTTCCTTTTTATCCACCTTATTCTGCTATACTTAATTAAATGCTTGTTTCAAAAAATTGTGTGAATAAGTTCTGGACAGGTAGAAGTAAAATATAAATTATTTGGCATATGCAAGTGTTAAGGAAATTTAAGATAGAATTCTACTTTTAAAATTAAATCATGAGGAAGAAGTCAGTACTGTCTGCTATAGAATGTTTTTCAATAAAAAATAAAAATGCATTTACTTAACACTGTTAATTTTGCTGCTGTCCATCATTTTTATTTATGCATGTTTTAAGGTACAATTTAATATTTTAGTTTTTTCAGCTCTGAAAAAATGTTAAGCTCTCTTTCAGAAAATTTTGAGGTAACATATATTCATTCATTATATGATTAAACACATTGACAATATAAAATGGCAGTATAAATTAATTGCATCTTATATTTAGGCAGATGTTAGTGAAGACATTTTATTTGTCATTGAGGAAAACTGAGAGAACTGTAAACATACCTTTTTCCTCAACAAACCATAGGATTTTAATGTTCCTCTTTGAAATGTAAATTGCTACACATTTGCTCTTCACTGAACATGAATTAAACAAGCAACTCATACATTGAATGGATTGCTAAATAGTATAGCATCAAATTGAAAAATTGCTGATAAGTGTGTTACAGAATGAACAATAGGCATCAAGAGCAAATGAAACAACTTCATACACATATCCCATCCAAGAATTATTCAGTCTTCAATTTATCTCTTTTCCTTATAATTTAAAATTCAGTGTTGTACTGAAACAATGGCTTTATTTCAAATGTAAGAAGAGGTATATTGTATGTAAAAATTTCAGAAAAATATTCAAGTATTATATAACTAACTGCATATTGTACTTGGAGGGCCTTTGAAATTACTAAATACATTTCATGAGAGAGACTTTCAGAGAACTAAATATCTTTGATTCCCTTTAGATATTTAGTAGTGTTTCAATATACAGTTTAAAAGCAATGGCAAGGTTTCTAATTGTAACTTCAAATGGAATGTAAAAAGTCAATAGACAAAGATTTTTAAAATTTTTTTATGTTTCTTTTTTTTTTTCCTTTTATTATTCATATGTGCATACAAGGCTTAGGTCATTTCTCCTCCTTGCCCCCACCCCCTCCCTTTGAAAATGTTTTAATTGCTGTGCTGGGTGTGGGTATATTGTAGCATTTACAAAGGTTCTTACAATGTATCAAATATATCATACTTGAATTATCCCCCTCCACTTCTCTTTCTCATTCCCCTTTCCCTAGAACAGTTTCAACAAGTCTCATTTTTTACATTTACATATATGTGTATTACACTGTTTGCACCATGTTCATCGTCTTACCCCCTTCCCCGCCACCTCCCCACCTCACACCGGTGCCAACCAAACCCCTTCTCCCCCCGACCCCCTGCTTTTGTAGAAGAAAAACATAAAAGATAAAAATGAAACAATTCCTGTTCTTTTTTATTCTTGGCAGTACTGGGGTTTGTACTCAGAACATCTCGTTTAGTAGGCAAAAGCGGTACCACTTGAGCCGCTCTACCAGTCCTATTTTTAAGTGAGATTTTTCAAGATAGAGTCTGATGAACCGTTATCTTCTAACCTCTACCTTTTGAGTAGTTAGGATCGGAGAAATGATCCACGGACACTCAGCTATTCTTTGATATTCTTGCATACTGAACTATTAGCAACTCCAAAAACCATATTGCCTTGTTCCGTTTAATATTACTTTCTAGGAAAATACAAGTGTCTTTTTTTGAAGTATGAGAATTTTGTTCTAACAGGAAGTAGTCTTGCTTTTTTTTTTAACGAAAAAGTCTAGTGTAGGTAAAATCAAACACAATACAATATACCTTTCCTCTGACTTGGAAGTTTGCTTAGCTAAACTTTCTATTAATTAGTTCTTAGTCACCTGAACAGATACTGAACACGTGTCTCTGAAACATAACTTTTTTGAATAGTGTGGTTGAGTTGAACATTGATATGGGTGATTTAAAACTCTTTTAAAACATTGAGAATTGAAACCTTTTCAGTTCCATGGCTTGATCTTTCACATTGTCTTCTTGCTAAAGGAGTTTCATATATATTTATGATATACTCAAAAACAAAACAATGTAAGCATTTTAACTTACAAAATAATTGTTATCTGTTTAAAACTAAAAATGAAATTGCATTTTCTGTTCTAATGGTGAGTATATTTGAGATGTGCATTGGGTTTCTTTCTATTTTTAATGAACATTATAATAGTAAATATTATGATTTTTTAAATAATTCAATAAGACATCCTGACTCCCTAAATTGAGTTATTTTATAAAATTATAGCAGAAAATCATCCTATACTAATTTTGTTTTCTCTAAGAGACAGTAGTGCATATTCTAAAAGGGTTTAAAGTTACTCAGTCATAAGATAGAAGTGTTTGGTGAATATAAATTGATTTAATCAGTAACTAAGATAATACTAAACTTAACTTGAAATTATTATCTTTTATAACCCCAACTAAAATAAAGATTTGTTATCCATTGTTGGAAGCTTTAAAATATATTTAACATTTTTAATTTGATGTTCTTTTCATAGCTTTCACTTTTGTAATATAAATGTGGAGTTTTTCAGATATTATTGTTCTTATAGAAGAATTTTTTCCAATAATTTATGATATTTTTAATAATATTTTAAATGCTTTCAAAGAAAGTGGTAACATAGCAATAATAAAATATAACAAAAAAGCTTCTATAATACAACATTAAAATTCTTTCTATAAGCTAAATTTTCCTAAGCTAACTTTTAATAGATGGCAAACTGTCTTATGGTTGAAAAAAGTTTCTTGTAAATTAACAAATTACACAAAGTTATTTGTAACTAAACCATTTGGATGTTTGGAACCCTGTTGGAAATAATTACAGTGTCTTTATAGTGATGGAACATTCTATCTTTAGAGGTAGGAAGTGATTTTCAAAGAAATGTTTTATGTGATGGGTTACAGAGGAGTTTTTTTTTTAATTTAACAGCTGAGATTTCCTTCATGAGAAAATTTTTATGGAAATGTTTACTGCAGAACCCTTCTCGATCAGAAATGTGAGAAGGAATGTGTTATTAATTTAATGCAGCAGCAAGGAGTTTTTACAAAACTAAGACATTCAACAAGTATAAAAGAAATATTTTAGAAATATGTTTTTTAGATATAAATACATACAGAATCTGAGATTATCTTGCTTTTGTAAGTATTGTTATTGGCAGTACTTGGGTTTGAACTCAGAATCACACATGCTAGGCAGGGGCTCTTCCACTTGCATGTGTTCTGCCACTCAAGCCATTCCTCAAACCCCAAGTAATTTTATACTACTTAAATAAAATTAATTTTGCTTATAAGTTAACTAACTCAATGTATATTTTCAGAGCAAACTTATATTGATCATCAGTTACTTTATCCTCTATAGATTCAAGAATTTGTTTTTAAATGTAAACAAATGTATATTACAATAGAAGTATTCCTAAACAGACTGGTCCCTTTATATGTGTTATATAAAGTAATAAAGACAATCTTCTATTTTTATCATTACAAAGATGTAACATTTTAAGTTAATGGATATAACACATTGTCTCTGTTAGCAAAAGATGGTTTAATATATCATCTTTTGTTTATTTAATAATTTTAGTGTTACCTGTAGTTTGGTTTATGATATTTGTTATTAAAAAATTTATTGAACGACTTTTATATGTCAAGCACTTTACTAGGTGTAAAGGATCCATGGAACACTAAAACATAATACGTGACATCTGAAATTTCAAGATCTCAGTGCAGAAATTTTATATATAAACAAACTATTATAAACACTGTGGTCTTTGTTGTGACAAGCAAATTATTCTGTCCTGGTGACAAAGTTCATCAATAGTAAAGTCTACTTAATTAGATAATCCTGAGATAGTTCTGTAGTGCTTATATAAAATTATTTTTGAGTAATAAAACAACAAATGTCATTTCTTATTAATAGCTGACATTTTTCTGCTTTTATACTCTTGCAATATTTTATAGCCAGAGAGAAACAGAGGCAGAGAGGCAGACAAACAGAAAACAAAAAAGTGAGCTGGGCACTGGTGGCTCACCCATATAATCTTAGCTACTCAGGAGGCAGAGATCAGTAGGATTGCAGTTCAAAGTCAGCCCAGGGAAATAGTCCATGAGACTCTATCTCAAAAAAATCTATCCCAAAAATGGGCTGGTGGAGTGGCTCATGATGAAGGCTCTGAGTTCAAAACCCAGTACTGAAAAAAAAAAAGTGAAAAGGAGGGAAGGAGATACAGGTACATGAACACAGTATTACACTATTTGTAGGACTAGAATATGTTTTAATATGCCTAAGTCATTAATGTTATTCTCCAAATATTGAGGAAGAGAAATGAATACTAAGAATGAAGAATTTTGAACTGAAGTTTTCTGATAATAGGTAAAAGATAATAAGGTATTATCATTTTAAAGACAAAATAGATAATTTTCTGTTTCATGTCTAGTCTTAAAAATTATTTTACTTATGCTAGATTCAGTATCTACATGTCACTGTGGTAAATATTGAAGTGAAATAAAATATCTTTATTTCTGTAAGGTTTTATTAAAAACACAGTGGGGAAAGGCTCAACAATAGAGCTAGTTATAATAAGAGACAGCATCAACCCCACAAATCAACCACTTTTTCCCCATTAAGTGTTTACAACTACAAATATTTGAAGAAAATTCCTCTTATAAAAACTCAAAATATACTTCTTTATTGTATTAGTGCAATTCAGAAGACAACTGGCAAAAGAGGGATTGTTATTTCTCGTTCCACATATCCTACTGCTGGCCGATGGGGGGGACACTGGCTTGGAGACAACTATGCAAATTGGGACAATATGGACAAGTCTATCATTGGTATGTGAGAATCACCATCTTTATCATTATCCTTTGAGTTTTCTATTAAATATTAACTTTTCCATTGTAGGTTCATATACCTCAGAAATCTTCAGAATTGTGCTTTTGATGTATTTTATGACACCGAACATCATGGAAAGGCATTAAGCCAGGTAGCAGGGTCAGGAATTTTGTATAGAAACTAAGGATTAATGTTCTCCAACTAGCTTATTTTGATAAAATGTAATTTTATCATTGTTTGCCTCAGTTTCCTTATTGAAAAGGTAAGGAACTAGGAAAGATAGCATCTAAAGTTAAGAAAGAAATGAATAAAAATTCTAGATTGACAGGGAATAAGAATCACAGAAGCTGAAGAAATAAACATTTCCAACTAACGTTTTAATGTCCTGACAATAGGTAAAAGTTAAATATGATATTATTACTTTAAAGCAGAAATGCCTTTTCCATTTCATGTCTAGCCCTAAATCTTCTTTACTAATGATATATTCAAGGAAAACATTATTTAGACACATTCCTTTAACAAAGAACTGGGAAATCACATTTTATTTTATGGAAGTGATCATTTCTCAGAGGTTTTTATTTAATAAGGATAACTCAATTTGTTTTAAATAAGAAGACCTAATATGAAATAATTGCAGAAACAGTTTCATTGTTTTCAAAACTGAAATTGAGCAACCCACAGTCACATTCTTCTGTCTCTACAAAGTGTTCCAAACAGATTTCTGCTTTAAATATGTCATATTCCAAGAATCATGGAAATTTATAGCCTTATTTTTCATGAATATCATTAACACTATAAAGTGAAGAATGTATGAATTTTGTAAGAAATGAGAAAAGAGTATATGAAAAATTTGCAGAGTTTTGTTGAATTGGAATTGATATTAGAAAGACAGAATTTTATTTAATAGACTGAAAATTATTAAAATATACAAAAATTTGTTTTCTAAGTTTTTTTCCCTAATTTTATAGGTATGATGGAATTTAGTCTCTTTGGAATATCATATGTAAGTATATGTATTAATTTTATCTTTGCAATCTTTAAATATTAAGAACAAGGTATTCAAAATTAATTAAATATAACAATATCTTTTAGACTGGGGCGGACATCTGTGGTTTCTTCAACAATTCAGAATATTATCTCTGTGCCCGCTGGATGCAACTTGGAGCATTTTATCCATTTTCAAGAAATCACAACATTGCATTCATGAGAGTATGTAATTACTAATTTTTTTCCATTCCTTTTCCAAAACACCTTAGACTGCATCCTTACCTGGCTTATTTCCAGTTGAATGCTTTGAATCTCTTCATATTTATGAAAGACATCTTAACCCATCATTTTTAGAATTCCCTGACTTGAGTTATACTTAATTATACTCCGGGTACAGGGCTTGGTTAGCAGGCATACTTACCATAGTAGTTACAGTCAGGGAAAAATTGCCACTCAAATTTCTTTCAAACTGGAACAGAACAACAAAGCAATTATCTTCAAATTAAATAATTGCAAGATGAGCTGGAGATATGACTGAAGCAGTAGAGTTCTTGTTTAGCAAGTGAGAAGCCCTGAGTTCAAACTCCAGTAATACAAAAAAAAAAAACCAAAAGAACAAAAAAACTCTAAATAATTGGAAGTGAATGTCCTTTGCAAAAGTACATGGATAGATTTAAAAGGCAAATATTAAAACAATGGGTTGTTAAATTGATAAATAGTAAAAAGAAGCAGAGGTTTAGAACTGCTGTCTGTGGAATGACACTACTGCATTTCATAAAACTGGATGAAATTTTTGAGTGATATGTGAGACAATTCCAAATTTCATGGAAAATTATGAATGGTTAGAAGCTCAATTTTGTTACTCTCATTGAGAGAGTAACAGAGAAAAAATGAATTTGCAAAATGCATGTCAAGGAGGGGTGGAAGACAGCTGGCTTTCAAGGATACAAGCATATGGTACCATATTTTGAATGAATTTGAAAATGAGGCAGTAGAGACATAAGGTAATGAAATAGGAATATTTTCACAAGAAAGCTTGCTGTTTATAATTTAGATGGCTGTCACATTTGGGGAGGAGAGCATACATCAATTAAAACCTACACAGGTATTAATTTCAAAAAATAGTTTTTGAGAGTCTACCATTACATATTTACAGTTTTGACCTAGTTATTCACTATATTCCAAGGAGATGTAGAGAAAAAAGACAATTACATACATTATATAATATATGTAATACACATAAGTAGTAATTTAGAAATAAATATCTGTAAGGGGAAGTAAAGTGTTAGACATTTTTGGAGGTTCTGTTTTTGAAGGGACATTCCAGGAAGTTTTGGATGAAGTGACATTTGAAGAGAGATTTGAGTGAGAGAGAACAAAAAATATAATTATGGGGAGGAGTAGAAAATATTAATATATTTTCTTTCTCTCGATCACATGAAGTAGAAATATATTATAAGGTTTTGGTGAAAAAATACATGACACATGGCAGTGAATTAATGTAATTTCTGATTTTTTATTCTCCAAATAATTGCTAAACAGACAATGACTTCTGACTACTTAATTTTGTTTTGTTTTAGAGACAAGATCCTGTTTCCTGGAATGAAACTTTTGCTAAAATGTCAAAGACTATTCTGGAGATTAGATATACCTTACTGCCTTATTTCTATACTCAAATGCATGAAATTCATGCTCATGGCGGCACTGTTATCAGACCCCTTTTGCATGAGTAAGTGCAAAATTTATGCTTTCACTTTACAAAGAGATAGCTTTAATTTAATTAACTCAATAATTTTTATAGTACAAAACATTTGCTATTTTAATATGTATGTTGGGTTAATAAAGCATTTGTGCAAAAGTCTAGTAATAAACACACTAATATCCATTCCATAGTGAAACACATTAATCATTTAAAAGTGATAGTTATTTAAAATATCTACCATATAGTAGGTATTGTTCTAAATGTTTTCTATATATAATTACACTGAATATTTTCAAAAAGTCCCAGATAAAAGTAATAATATCTCTCATGATTTAAATAATTGAGGTTTAGTGCATTTAAGTAAAGTCTTCAAAATATAGTTGCCTGACTGAAGAAATCCATCCCACATCTTCCTGGAGATCTGATTGACTTCCCAAAAAGAGTTTAAACTTCTCCATACAAATTGAAAGGTTCAATTTGTGTATGACTAAATCTTGAAAATTCCATTCCATTAAGATCATTGTAAACACTTTTGTTTGTTCTATGTTAAAGCAAATGCAGATTCTTGTTGCAAATGTTAAAAATGTCAAAACACACAATCCAATAACAGCAAAAAGCCTTTAATTATTCATAAGACAGCTTGGCAGAGTCATTGACATAATTTTTCAGATTTTACCAGTGATATAGGAATAAAAATAGGGACTATTTTTTTCGAATAGAAACAAAATTACCAAAATAATAAATTAATGGTATGTCTGCTCTTTTTATAATAGGATAAGAGACCCAGTTTTTTTTTGAAAACTCTTCCTACATTAGAAATAGATTCTTGTTCCCTTATTTATCTGCAATAATCCTTCCTGTGTTTTTTATACCATTTTATTGATTCCTTACTGTTTAATTTATAGATTAGTCACCTTTTAGTTTTCCCTATTAACTTTCCAGAATTGCTGGACCATGTACTCTGGACCAAGTCTCCAACCAGAAACATTATAATTAACCATGCGGCTTCTTGCCCTATTGAGAACGCTTGAGCAGCTGCTCTCATACACAGTTCAAGGAGGAGCATTGGCCTCACTTATTGTAAAACAAAACAAAACCAAAACAAAGGAACCGACAAATTTTTAAAAATTAATTTCATTTGGTGAAAAACAATAATAGTTAGTAATGACTATTCTTAAACTATGCAATAGATTTTGAGGTGTTTTTGGTTATTTATATTCAGATTCTAGTAATATATACAAGAACAACTTTTTAAATTTAGCTTATATTAATTGTACAAAGAAATAGGTTTCATTATGACATTTCCATGTATCTATTATTTTTTGTTATCCTTTCAAACTAACATTAGAAAGTTGTAATTTAAGTAAAATATACAAAGCAATTTTTTGTTGTTTAGGTTTTGTTTTGTTTTTGATATATATGAGACATGGTCTTGCTGTGTATAGTAGGGTGGCCTCAAACTTGTGATTGTCCTGCATCGGTCTTCCACTTGCTTAAGATTACAGCTGTGAGCCACCATTCCTAGCTTCAAATTTTCTATAGCTAACAAATCAACATCCTTATGTACAAGTTTTGCAGTTCTCTTCCATGCTTATAAATTTGGCTTCCAAGTGTTTTGATCATATGCTGATAAAAGTTAATATATATTTCTATGAGCCCTTTCCACAGTGACTT